GGAGAACCAAGGAGTGGCTCCGTAAGAAGCATATCAAGGTTCTGGAGTGGCCTAGCCAGTCTCCACACCTAAATCCAATAGAACATCTTTGGAGGGAGCTGAAACTCCATGTTGCTCAGCGACAGCCCCGAAACCTGACAGATCTAGAGGAGATCGGTGTGGAGGAGTCGGCCAAAATCCCTGTTGCAGTGCAAACCTGGCCAAGGACTACAGGAAACGTCTGACCTCTGTAATTGCAGACAAAGGCTTCTGTACCAAATATTAACACGGATCTTCTCAGGGGTTCAAATACTTCTGTTCAGCAGTGCAAGAGACAAATACATTCTTTACAAATCATACAATGGGATTTCCTGAATTTTTTTTTTTAAATTCTGTCCTCAGAGTGGGAATGCCCCTACAATGTGAATGTCAGACCCTCCATGATTTCTAAGTGGGAGAACTTGCAAAATCGCAGGGGGTTCAAATACTTCTGTTCCTCACTGTAACAGACACATTTACGTCACAGCATACGTCACCCAAAACGCTCCATTCCTCTCCAGCCTCCGATTCATAAGTGTACAGTAGGGATGAGCAGAGTGATTACGCTAAATTTGATTTTTGCTCCTTCTAACGACCACTTTCACTTTGATTGAACGCTTGCTGAAACTGGCCTCCAAGCTGGCCACTTGGGTGAGATATTCTTGGCCAAAGAACAATTTCTGGGGCTGTGTCTTCTGACAAAGCCATGAGATCCCCAGGTCAGCGATGATCTCCAGATCATATGGTTTTGTGGTTTAGGGTCAATGTTAGGATGAAGGTTGGGGCCAGTGCTGGGATGAAGGTTGGGGTCACCATTGGGCTCAAGATTTGGACCAGCATTGGGATCAAGGTTAAGGTTAGCTTTTTGGATAAAGGTTAGGATCAGCTTTGGGATTGAGGTTGGGGTCGGCTGTTGGATCAAATTTAGGGTCAACTTTGGGATCAAGATTATGGACAACTTTGGGATCAAGATTATGGACAACTTTGGGATCATCAAGGTAAAGGTAAGTGTTGGGATCCAGGTTATGGTCAGCAATTGGATCCTAATGGTGACCTTGACGTCATTTCTGGGATCAAGGATAGAGTTCGCTTTAGGATAAATGTTAAGGGTCACCATTAGGTTAGGGTTAGCATTCAGGTCAGCTTCGTTATCAAGGTTAAGGTCAGTGTTGGGATGAAGGCTATGGTCAATTAGGATTAAGGCCAGCTTTGGTTTCAAGTTTAGGGTCAGTGATTGGGTTTGGATTGGCCTGTTCCTCAATATCCATCATCTTCACAGCTAATGAGGGCCCTTTTTGGTGCAAGAACAGGTCCATGATGGATGAAAGGGCTTCCGTAACCCTCAGGCCTGATCTAAAGACCATGGTACCAGGGAAACAAACATCTGCATTTTACCTTCCTCTGTATTTACAACGCATTTCAACAAATTGTCTCCTTTTTTTTGCCTTAATTTTCAATAAATAAGAACTCCCAATTTCGATCATCCCTAGGCTGAATCTATTTCATAGACAGATTATCCAAATTTTACATCCTAGTGTAGAACCTCACCCTTTTTTTTAAATCGCGCCTCCATGGTGGAGTAAGAACACCTCGAGTGTAGCCCGTCTTTATTGCACCATTTTATTATTAGTTGTATGAGCCAGTCATGGTGGCCAGTAGGACCGTAGCTGGTGGAAGGGGAACAAAAATTCCCATGTGCAGGATAAATTCTTTTTGTTAATCCAAATGCAAAATCTGATTATTTGTAATCTGTTTTTTAGGTCCAATAGAGCAGGGGGTCTCCAAACAAAGGGCCAGTTTACTGTCCTTCAGACTTTAGGGGGGCAGATTGTGACCAGTGGAGGTAGGAAAAGTCACAGGCCCGGCATCCGTGGTAGAAAACAATACCTCAGGCTTAGTGTTCAGTTGCATAGTGCCTTTGGTCAGTAGGATGAGAAACAGTGCCCCGTCTCTGGTGTCAGTGGATGGAATAATGCCCCATCATTGGTGTCCGTGGATGGAATAGTTCTCCATCATTGGTGTCAGTGGAGGAAAAGTGCCCCATCATCTGGTGTCAGTGGGAGGAATAGTGCCCCATCATTGGTGTCATTGAGAAGAATAGTGCCCTATCATTCATGTCAGTGGGAAGAATAGTGCCCCATCATTGGTGTCAGTGGAAGGAATAGTGCCCCATCATTAGTGTCAGTGGAGGAATAGTGCCCCATCATTGGTGTCTGTGGGAAGAATAATGCCCCATCATTGGTGTCCGTGAATAGAATAGTTCTCCATCATTGGTGTCAGTGGATGGAATAGTTCCCCATCATTGGTGTCAGTGGGAGAATAATGCCCCATCATTGGTGCCTGTGGGAGGAATAGTGCCCCATCATTGGTGTCCGTGGATAGAATAGTTCTCCATCATTGGTGTCAGTGGGAGGAATAGTGCCCCAACATTGGTGTCAGTGGATGGAATAGTGCCCCATTATTGGTGTCAGTGGGGGGAATTGTCCCCCACTGTTTATCAGTGTTTTAATAGTGCCCCAAAGGCCTGATAGAAGCTGGTAAAGGGGCACATCCAGCCCTCGGGCCTCAGTTTGGAGACCACTGCAATAGAGGATATGGTGACTCCATGCAAGTACTGGCTCCAGCCCTGGTAATGAGCTCTGGGTGGGAATTTACAAAACAATTTAAGTTTACAAACAACCTCAATGCAATTATTTTCCGTATCTTAAGCCTCAGGTGACACCATGTAAAAATAACTGCAGGCAGGGGGGTCCTCGGTTCAAATACCAATCAGGACACTTGTCTGCATGGACTTTGCTGGTTCTCCCTTTGCTTGGGTTTCCTGTGGATACTCTGGTTTCCTCCTACACTCCATGCTGGCAGGTTCATTGGTTCCTGCTCAGGATGTGAGATGACTGTAGATTGTAAGCTCCTTGGGGGCGGGGACTGGTGTGAATGAGGAGCGCTGTGTAAATTGTCGGCGCCATATACCTACCTATATTACACCAGGTCTCACCAGATGGGAAGCTGGGTACACTTACCAGCCTGTCCACTGCAGGAACATGCGTTGTCCACGCCCAGGAGGAGCACGGCTGCATGAAGGGGCAATAAAAGGACCCTAGGGTGGCCAGGGGGAAGGGTTACCGCCATTTCCGGAGTTCCACTTTAAGTTGCAGTCATTCGATGGGCCACCGTCTTTTACAGCTGCAGGTTTTATGTCGCATTTCATACATCCCTCCATTCCGCGGCGGTTCGTATCTCAGGAATTGTGATGTCACAGACCGCAGGACCAATCCGTAGAAAACCGCTGCAATCCGCCCCTCCCCCATTTTTTCTGACAATGAATGTATGTGCGTCCGTACGCGTGTTTTGTCATTCCCGCCCCCTGATGGCCTTTTCACGTATTTAATTTTGTGGCCGGTCGTGTGTCTCCGTGGATGTGCCGGGATATCATTTTTATCGTGACTTGATATATTGTGACAATCGATTGGTTAGATCGGTCTCCTGGAAGAGATGGTGCGGCGGGACGATTGGAGACCGATTCTGGGGGGGGTGGGGATTAACTACTGATATGGGGGGGAAATGTAAAATTTGTGATGTCAGTATCTTGGAATAAACGGGATTTACACATTTTCTACAACGTTTCTGCGTGTTTCCTGCTGTTGCCATGTGAAGGTTTATAATTCTGTATTTCCTGAAATCGGGGGTCAGCTGCTACACACATGGCACCCAATGATGTCTGCGTCATGGGGGAGGGGGCGGAGTTTTTACGTTCAATTATTCACATTCATCTATGAAGGATAACAACATAGACATTCATAGGGACACGGATCTGTTTCCATGGCAGGAAAAGGTCGGCATTAAATGCGTTGGAAAATCGCTTTTATCTGCCAATGATGTGAATTTGGACGCATTTACACTTCGGGGGTTATTTATAAAGCAGAAAATCCGACATTCACTGTTGGTGAACCTTCCAGGGATTTCAAAGGACAGTAGAACATACACACTATATTGCCCACAGTATTGGGCCTCCGGCCTTTCCACACACGACCTTTTAATAGCCCCCCAATCTTAGTCCGTAGGGTTCAATATTGAGTTGGCTCCACCCTTCCCACGCACATGACCTTTAATAGCCCCCCAGTCTTAGTCCGCAGGGTTCAATATTGAGTTGGCCCCGCCCTTTCCACGCACATGACCTTTAATTGCCCCCCAGTCTTAGTCTGCAGGGTTCAATATTGAGTTGGCCCCGCCCTTTCCACGCACATGACCTTTAATGACCCCCCAGTCTTAGTCCGTAGGGTTCATTATTGAGTTGGCCCCGCCCTTTGCACATGACCACACATGTTAGCCCGTAGGGTTAATGAGTTGGCCCCCACGCACATGACCTTAATGGCCCCCCGTCTTAGTCCGTAGGGTTCAATATTGAGTTGGCCCCGCCCTTTGCAGCTATAACAGCTTCAACTCTTCTGGGAAGGCCGTCCACAAGGTTTAGGAGGGTGTCTATGGGAAGGTTGGACCATTCTTCCAGAAGCACATTTGTCAGGTCAGGCACTGATGTCGGGGGGAGGAGGCCTGGCTCACAGTCTCCGCTCTAATTCATCCCAAAGGTGTTCTATGGGGTTGAGGTCAGGACTCTGTGCAGGACAGTCAAGTTCCTCCACCCCAAACTGGCTCCTCCATGTCTTTATGGACTTTGCTTTGTGCACTGGTGGGCAGTCATGTTGGAACAGGAAAGGGCCCTCCCCAAACTCCTCCCACAAAGTTGGGAGCATGAAATTGTCCAAAATGTCGACTTAAGAGTTCCCTTCACTAGAACTAGGGGGCCGAGCCCAACCCCTGAAAAACAACCCCACACCATAATCCCCCCTCCACCAAACTTTACACTTGGCACAATGCAGTCAGGCAAGTACCGTTCTCCTGGCAACCACCAAACCCAGACGCGGCCATCGATTGCCAGACAGAGAAGCATGATTGGTCACTCCAGAGAACACATCTGCCCTGCTCTAGAGTCCAGTGGTGGCGTGCTTTACACCACGGCATCCGAGGCTTTGCATTGCACTTGGTGATGGAAGGCTTGGATGCAGCTACCGGCCATGGAAACCCATTCCATGAAGCTCTCTATGCACTGTTGTTGGGCTCATCTGAAGGCCACACCAAGTTTGGAGGTCTTTAGCTATTGACTCTGCAGACAATTGGTGACTTCTGCGCACTGTGCGCTTCAGCATGCGCTGACCCCGCCCTGTCATGTGACGTGGCCTACCACTTGGTGGATGAGTGGCTGTTATTCCCAGTTGCTTCCACTTTGTTATAATCCCACTAACAGTTGAGCGTGGAATATTTAGTAGCCAGGAAATGTCACGGATGGACTTATTGCCCAGGTGGCCACCTATCACGGGACCACGCTTGGAGTCACTGAGCTCCTGAGAGCGACCCATTCTTTCACCAATGTTTGTAGAAGCAGTCTGCATGCCTAGGGGCTTGATTGTATACACCTGTGTCCATGGAGGGGATTGGAGCACCTGAATCACATGATATGGAGGGGATTGGAACACCTGAATCACATGGTATGGAGGGGATTGGAACACCTGAATCACATGATTGGGAGGGGATTGGAACACCTGAATCACATGATTGGGAGGGGATTGGAATACCTGAATCACATGGTATGGAGGGGATTGGAACACCTGAATCACATGGTATGGAGGGCGGTCCCAATACCAAATACTTTTGGCAATACAGTATATATCTCTATATTTCCATAAATTTAAAAGCAAAATAAAAGTTGAGGCTCCATCAAGTAAATAGATACCAAATGTGTCAAATTTTAAAATTGCATGAGTCCACGGAACTTGAAAACTGTTCATAGGTGACTCTTTCAAAGCCTATGAAGGACATCAGTTTCGAGTTGACCATGAACAATGGATGTAGAGTTCCAGCCCTCCCTGTGACCTGTGTGGTGATGCCATTTTGGCGTCGTAGTCTTTTGACTAAAATTGCATTTTCATTTTTAGTCGTATTTCAGTCGACCAAAATAGTGTTCATTTCATCGATGAAAATTTTTTAGTTCATGGAATGAACACTGCGTGATACGTTTTTAGTATCCAAAGCCAACTCCCTCCCCATCCATCCATGTCACCATGATTTATTTTTCCTAAGAAATCCCTTTGAAAAATGCCCCCCCCCCCCCCCCCCCCAGCATTTTTGGTAGGGGCCATCTTGAGTAAGGGCAGATGATTCCTGCAGCATTTACTTCCTGGAATCAATCTTCCCTTAGCTCAGGCATGCAGGAGGGTGTGCTTAGCAAAACCTGTAGCTGCTAACTTTTAATAAAAGGACGCTTACCTGTCCGGAGTTCTGGCGCCACCCTCACCCGGGCCGGTTCACCAATCTTCAGGTCCCCGGTGCTGTCATGTTTACTAAGGGAAGCTGACTGTGACTCCTTGTGGCTTCACATTTGGCTTCCTACTGCACACGTGCGAGCCGCGATGTGCTTTGTGACATGTCCCAGAAGGCTGCAGGAAGGGAGAGGGAGGCCAAATTTTTATCTGCTTGGAGATACCGACCCCTTCCCAACAAAATAAATGTTTCAGATCGATTCGTTGTCACAAATGTCATTTGGTTGCATTCGTAAAGAAATTCAGTTTGTTTCGCTTTGTTTATTCATTTTCGACCGGATTCACATTTTCCCCCATGGTTTGGAAGTATTTGAATTGAATTCTAATACAAAAAAAAAAAACTAATCGATCCAAATTCATTGTGAAGAATAACTGGTTCTACTCTATTCGAAATTCTAAATTAAAACTTCGGAAGACTGTTATATTCTCTCTGTTCTAATCTATTCAATTTCCTTTTCTATTTTATTCTATTTTTTTATTTTCTATTCTCTTTTGCACTATTCTTTTCTATTGTGTTATTCTGTTCTTTCAAAATTAAAATTTCGAAAGACAGTTATATTTTATTCTATTCTAATTTATTCTTTTTTTTTTTTTCAATCTAGTCTATTCTTTTCTATTCCTTTATTTTATATCCTATTTATTCTGCTCTTTTATATGCTGTTCTATTCTATTTTACTCTATTGCAGGGCTCAAAATGTCCGCTTGCCTGCTCGCATTTGGCGAGTGGAAATATGGTGGGGTTAGTGTGTCCAGACTGCAGCAGGTGAAATTTGATGCAGGGGTGGGGACATTGACAAGCACCAATCTCCCTGTATGGCTTTCAATGAAGCAGCTGAAATCCGTGGGAGGTAGAGAAGGAGAAGCGGCTTCCAGGTACGTCATTGAAAGCCATACAGGGAGATCGGTGCTTGTCCCTGTCCCCACTGCTACACCAATTATCCCTGGCTATCCATCAGAATTCTCTTTCTGGCTCCCCCTGTATGCTCCTTAGTCCCCAGCCCCTCCTCCCATCCTCCACACCAATAGGAGAGAGAGAAGCTGGATCTGCTCTGCTGCTCCCTGCACCTCGCTCTAGTCCGTGCAGCTTCTAAGGCAGTGGTTCTCAAGCTTCCTAATGCCGTGACCCTTTATTACAGTTCCTCATGTTGTGGTGACCCCCAACCATAAATTTATTTACCCAGTAATTATAATTCATGAAGTGTCGTTTTACCTCCATTACTGCTGCTTTCAACACAGCAGCTGCTTTCTACACAGTAGCTGCTCTTTACACATCGGAAATATGTGTTTTTTTCTGATGGTCTTAGGGGACCCATGTGAAAGGGTCGTTCGACCCCCAAAGGGGTCGCAACCCACAGGTTGAGAACCACTGTTCTATGGGGATGTGTGGGCGGGAAATCGTATACAGAGCAGCCGGCAGCTCTGTAATGCTTCTGACTGAGCCGGGGGCCATCCATGTGAGTCCAACCTTCCTCCCCTCCTTCCTTCCTCCATTTCTCCTTTTCCTTTCTTTTCCCTTCCCTTCCTCTCTCCCTCCCTCCTTTCCTTCCCATCTTTCCTTCCCTCCCTTCCTTTCTTGTTCCTTTCCTTCCCTCCATCCATTCCCTCCCTTCCTTCCTCCCTCCACCTTCCTTCCTTCTTTCCCCTTTTCCCTTTTTTTTTTACCTTCCCTTCCTTCCTTCACATCTTTCCTTCCCTTCACTTCCCTCCCTTTTCTTTCTTTGTCCTTCCCTTCCTTCCTTCCCTCCCACCCTTTCTCCCTTTTTCCCTTCCTCCTTTTCTTCCTTCCTTTCCACCTTCCCTTCCTTTCCTTCTCTCCATCCATTCCCCCTCCCTCTCCTCCCCCCCCCCCACACCTCCATTTCTTTCTTTCTGTTGCTTTCTTTTTTTTTCTCTTTCTTTCCTTTCCTTTCTTTCCCTCTCTTCCTCCCCCCGCCCCTCCATTTCCTTCCTTCCTCCCCTTCTTTTCCTTTCCCTTCCTCCTTTTTCTTCCTTCCTTCCTCCCCTTCCCTTCCTTCTCCATCCATTCCCTCCCTCTCTTCCTCCCCCCGCCCCTCCATTTCCTTCCTTCCTTCCTTCCTCCCCTTCTTTTCCTTTCCCTTCCTCCTTTTTCTTCTTTCTTCCTCCCCTTCCCTTCCTTCTCCATCCATTCCCTCCCTCTCTTCCTCCCCCGCCCCTCCATTTCCTCCCTCCCTCCTTCTCTTTCCTATTTTGTGTTTTAGAACTAGTTTTCTGTTTGCAGTCACAAGAGTTTAGTTTTGTGTGGTCGTAGTTGGTCCCATGTGGGACATCTCATGTAAAGGGGGACTCTGATGGGTGTTTATTTCATATTTATTGTTTTAACTTTATTCTGCCTAAAACATTTACCAGTGTCACTAGATCACTTATGAGGGTGTGGTCAGGAGTGGAATTAGGGGCGGGGCAGGGTAGGGATTAGGTGGGGCAACTGGCGGCAAGTAATTCTAGTAGCTCGGGCCTTGAAATTGTGAATCCTAATCTGTTGTATTGTTTGCTTTTCTCTTTTATTCTATTTCATTTCAAAATTTGAATTTTGGAAGACTGCTATATTCTATTCTATTCCCTCATATACTCTATTCTTTTCTATTCTATTCCTTTATTTTGTGTTCTATTTAATCTTCCCTTTTATATTCTATTTTATTCTGTTTTAACCAATTCTATTCAAATTTTGGAAGACGGTTCTATTCTAACACTGATACACATAGGTGTGGGTTTACTAGAAAGCAAATATACTGTGCAGTTGCTGCAGAGCTTAGTAAATGAGGAGGGGCTTCATGTTATAATTCTCATTTGTCTTTTTAAATTTGATTTATTTTTTTAATTTTGGACGAAATTTTGTTTCTTTATTCCGGATTCATTCAAATTCAGAAATGCCAATATATCCGAATCTCCAAATTAATGAAAATGTTGTCCGAATTTAGATTCAGTGCAGAAGGAACCACAGTTGTCTATTTAAAGGGGAGCAGCTGGGGTCCGTTTGCAGGGCTGGTCTCCTGTGATGTATTACTGACATCCATGGCAGGGAAAGGGTTCAGTCGTTGGGCTCTTCAATGTGCTGGAGATGTGGACCGGCCCCCGGCTCCCTCTCATTGGGTGGCAGCGCCCATTTATGGAATCTTATTAGATTACCAAACTCATAGTGAAAACGATCACCGTGACCCTTCCAGGGGACCCCAGCTCCTCGTATTCCATAGCACAACTACATTCCCTGGCCACTTTCTTAGGTCCACCTGTTCAATTGCTTGGTAACACAAACTGCTAATCAGCCAATCACATGGCAGCAACTTAATGCATTTAGGCATCTAAATGTGGTGAAGACAACTTGCTGAAGTTCAAACTGAGTATCAGAATGGGGGAAGAAAGGGGATTTAAGTGACTTTGACCGTGGCATGGTTGTTGGTGCAAGACGGTATTTCAAAAACTGTTGATCTCCTAGGATTTTCACACACAGCCATCTCTACGGTTTATAGAGAATGGTCCGAAAAAGAGAAAATATCCAGTGAGCAGCAGTTGTGTGGAGGAAAATGCCTTGTTGAGGTCAGAGGAGAATGAGCAGACTGGTTGGAGATGTTAGAAAGGCAACAGTAACTCCTATAACCCCTCGTTACACCCAAGGTATGCAGAATACCATCTCTGAACACACAACACATCATCCAACCTTGAAGCAGAAAGTCCACAGCAGCAGAAGACCACACCGGGGGCCACACCTGTCAGCTAAGAACAGGAAACAAGTCGCACAGGCTCACCAAAATTAGACCATAGAAGATTGGAAAAACGTTGCCTGGTCTGATGAGTCTGGATTTCAGCTGCGACATTCAGATGGTAGGGTCAGAATTTGGCATCAAAAACATCCTGGATCCTTCCTGCCTTGTGTCAACGGTTCAGGCTGGTGGTGGTGGTGTTATGGTGTGGTGGATCCATCCTGGCTTGTGTGTCAATGGTTCAAGCTGGTGGTGGTGGTGTCATGGTGTGACACCACTACCACCAGCCTGAACCGTTGATACAAGGCAGGATGGATCCACCACACCATAACACCACCACCACCACCAGCCTGAACCATTGATACAAGGCAGGAAGGATCCATCACACCATGACACCACCACCACCACCAGCCTGAACCGTTGACACAAGGCAGGAAGGATCCATCACACCATGACACCACCACCACCAGCCTGAACCGTTGACAGAAGGCAAGAAGGATCTACCACACCATGACACCACCACCACCAGTCTGAACCGTTGACACAAGGCAGGATGTATCCACCACACCATGACACCACCACCACCAGCCTGAACCGTTGACACAAGGCAGGATGTATCCACCACACCATGAC